GCAAAATGTAAAATGTAAGTAGTATATGTGCAGTCAACCTCTTTTTTTGACGAATTTTGAAAAGTTAATTTATTTTTTAATTTCAAATAAATAATATATTAAATTAGAACCGGTAAACTGGGACACTCAGTATATAACAAAATATAAAACGCATGTGTAATCAACTTGACTCGCTTTTCTTATGACCATTTTTGAAAAATTGAAATTTTTCTTAAATTTGTTTTTTTTTATGCTGTTTATAACAAAATTGTTTTGAGATACCTGTCAGATACGTACAGCTGTCAACACTGGCAAGGACCAATGTCACATTTAGTGATTTATTCCAGTATGAATTAAGTTTATGTTTCTTTCCATTTTTACTTCCCGAGCGTAAGCTAAGTAATCGAGTCCATCGGCCGAATTGGCACTTTCATACTTTCTCGACATGTAGAGTACGAAAAAAGTGGTCTCCCGTTTCCGTCTGTCGGTCTGTCTGGTTATCTGTCTCTGTGTGCGGTGTCTGTGTCCATTTTTATTACACACGTAAGATCCGAAACTACCGGACCGATTATTGTCAAATTTCGTTTGTATAATAAACACCAACTAAAATTTGGGTAATCACCCCCACCATCATGGATCCTCCTGCACTTGTGTTTTGTGAATTCGTGTCGAATTTTTACCCTAGCTAGACATCCAGATTTTTCGAAAAAAATTTAAAATTATAACAATATTTTGCAATTTAACTTTGAAACTGCAAAACTGAATGCTCCGAAATCTTGTAAATAGTTATCATAATCATGGTAAACCAGCAAAATTTATTCCGTTTATCTCCTCCCAAAAAATTGATGAAGTCATCAAAATATTATGACTGCATAGTTTTCGTTTATTAACACACTCCTAGTTTTTACAGTTACTTATACAGGGTGACTCAAAAAATTAATGAATGAGTCAATTTATTTTATTGATTAAATCAGGAACTGCACAACCGAATGCTTTGAAATCTTGCAGACGTTTTAAGCTTGTCGTAAGCATGGTAAATTTTTAATCAAAATGTATCTGCTTATCTCCCTCAAAAAATTGATGACGTCATCTCAAAATTTTGCCGATTAAATCCTATCCAAAATGTGCAAAATATGATAAGTCTATACTTGTCGTTTATCATTGCATTAAGAGTTTTTGCATTTCTTATACAGGGTGGCTCATAAAAATTAATGAATGAGTCAATTTATTTTACTGAAATCGGGGACGGCTCGGTCCATTTTACCAAAAATTTGAGAATACAATACTGTTATTTAACTTCTTTCATTTATTTTGACGTTACGTACATATCTTTATTTTAACTGAACAGGATTCTCATAAAAAGAATCGCATAATCAAATTTTTAAAATTTTAGATTTTTCGATTTCTCGATTTTTCAGTTCAGTTCTTCGATATTTAAATTTTTCAAGTTTTTGGAATTTTTCAAATCTTTCGATTTTTCCACTTCCCGGTTTTAGATTTTCTGTTTTTCAATTGTCGTTTTTTCAAACTTTCGATTTTTCAATTTTTCAAATTTGGCCTTAATAAACTTTCAATTTTTCGATTTTACAATTAATCGATGTATTGATTTTCCCATTTCTTGGCTTTCGAGGGTTTCGATATTCCTGTTCTTCAATCTTGAATTTTTCGATTTTTCATTTTAGTTTTTTTAAGGTTTCGATTTTTCGATTTCACTTTTTGGATTTTTCGATTGCTCAATTTTTCGATCTTTCAGGTTCTCAGTTTTTCGATATTTCAGTTTTCGGATTTTTCAGGTTTTCCATTTTTCTGTTTTTTTTTTTCATTTTTCAGTTTTTCGATGTCTCAGTTTTGGGATTTTTCAATATTTCGACTTTTCGATTTTTGACTCCTGGATTTTTCGATGTGTCGATTATTTTACTTTTCCGATTTTTCAATCGTCAGATTTTTAAATTTTAGATTTTTTAATTTTTAAAATTTTAGATTTTTCGATTTCTCGATTTTTCAGTTCAGTTCTTCGATATTTAAATTTTTCAAGTTTTCGAATTTTTCAAATGTTTCGATTTCTTAATCTTTTGAGTTTTCTACTTCCCGGTTTTAGATTTTCTGTTTTTCAATTGTCGTTTTGTCAAATTTTCGATTTTTCAATTTTTCAAATTTGGCCTTAATAAACTTTCAATTTTTCGATTTTACAATTAATCGATGTATTGATTTTCCCATTTCTTGGCTTTCGAGGGTTTCGATATTCCTGTTCTTCAATCTTGAATTTTTCGATTTTTCATTTTAGTTTTTTTAAGGTTTCGATTTTTCGATTTCACTTTTTGGATTTTTCGATTGCTCAATTTTTCGATCTTTCAGGTTCTCAGTTTTTCGATATTTCAGTTTTCGGATTTTTCAGGTTTTCCATTTTTCTGTTTTTTTTTTTCATTTTTCAGTTTTTCGATGTCTCAGTTTTGGGATTTTTCAATATTTCGACTTTTCGATTTTTGACTCCTGGATTTTTCGATGTGTCGATTATTTTACTTTTCCGATTTTTCAATCGTCAGATTTTTAAATTTTAGATTTTTTAATTTTTAAAATTTTAGATTTTTCGATTTCTCGATTTTTCAGTTCAGTTCTTCGATATTTAAATTTTTCAAGTTTTCGAATTTTTCAAATGTTTCGATTTCTTAATCTTTTGAGTTTTCTACTTCCCGGTTTTAGATTTTCTGTTTTTCAATTGTCGTTTTGTCAAATTTTCGATTTTTTAATTTTTCAAATTTGACTTTCGTAAACTTTCAATTTTTCGATTTTTCAATTAATCGATGTTTTGATTTTCCCATTTCTTGACTTTCGAGGGTTTCGATATTCCTGTTCTTCAATTCTTTAATTTTTCGATTTTTCATTGTTAGTTTTTTTAAGGTTTCGATTTTTCGACTTCACTTTTAGGACTTTTCGATTGCTCAATTTTTCGACTTTTTAGGTTCTCAGTTTTTGGATATTTCAGTTTTCGGATTTTTCAATACTGTTATTTAACTTCTTTCATTTATTTTGACGTTACATACATATCTTTATTTTAACTTAACAGGATTCTCATAAAAAAAATCGCGTAATCAAATTTTATAATTTTTCTAAAAAGTTGGGTTTGTTTTATTGTATTTCAGGAGCGAAGGAAGTTTTGTCGAAATGACTTTCGACCAATTTTTAAATCTGTGACAATCAGCCCTCGAACTTTGTAGTGCCAACCTTAGAATAATTAAACTACAGGTGCTCAAAAAACGGCACACCAAATCTATGACACATTATTGTTCAGGATTCTTTATGGAGCAGAGAAAAAATAATTTAAAAATTCCTTGAACCCAATTGTAGAAAATATAACCTTGAAAGTTAAAATTTTCTTTTCGATACTTGACCATATTGTTATGAATTAAACCCATTTGCCTCCCCGATACGACGCCTATGGGTTCATGTATGTACGGTCTTGATGACTCATCGTCAATGACCCGGCCGGACGGCATTGGCTACAGAAAAGCCTAAAAGCGGAAGTCGCGAAGGGCAATCTAGAAAGACCTCGACTACGGAATTTCTAGAAGGGAAGCATGGCTTTAAATAGAGGCCACCTTCGGGAACGATTATTATTCAGCCAGTTCAGTCCACGAAAGCACAGCTAAGTTGCGCCGGATTTATTTTGTACATAATCGCTGTGTACTCAGTCGTGTAAATTTGAGTTATTGAGAAATAAAATTGTTGAGTTTTACCTACGCCGATTTTTAAATACTCGTTCAATGTAACAATATTTTAATTCACGGCTGTAAATCTGACAACAGTGGCTAATTTTTCACGTTTTTTTATCTGTCTACATCAATTGATATTTTATAATTTTGCAAATGAACATAAGAATTTTTTATGATTTTTCCAGCATTTACACTTCTTTATTTAATACCGTATCGTTGAGTTGTTGTCATTTTTTGAGCAGCCTGTGTATAACCAGAGCTTTGTCCACTGAATTCAAGATTTGATTTTAATAAACAATCACTTTTACTTCTGATAGGTAATATCCACTTGTACAGATACTTTTCTATTTCTCCTTTTTGTTCTGTATCATAATATTTTATAAATTTTAGGTTTCTTATTCTAATTGAATTTAATGCTATGTCAAAAAAGTCTCATTTTTTAAATAATATATGTATATTATTTTGACCATCTACAAATATTCATTTTTTTCTAACATAAACCTTGAACCTTAACTACCGCGTTGTTGAAAGAAAACAATGATTAATTAAGCCCCACCCACCCGCCCTTTCTCAATTGTGACGAATTTTTCATTTGTTGTCAGATCGAGGGGCAAAGTTTAATTGCAAAATTCATATTTGTTTGTTAAAAAAGATTGTTGGAGAATCTCGTGGGTCCCGAGTGCCTATTTCAAATGATTCTGACACATTGCTGAAAAAAATCGAAAGTGAAGTGTAGCAACTCTACAAGCAAAACAAAGCGATTTTAACCTGGAATCTATAAAATAAAAATAGCATGTGTTTGGCAATCTAGTTAAACAATTAATTGTTTAGTATGTACTTAGAATTTATTAATCACTAGGTTAAAATAAGTCACTATCAATGTATGTCGAAAAAATGTTTGTTAAGGTCGAAATAAATTTTTTTTTTTGAAAATATGACAACTCCATGTTCTTGATAAACCGTGAAAATCAACTATACTGTGAACATTACGAGTGAGGAACGTACGTGACTTCGTTATCAGTTATGGTTATGATTCAAGAACAACTTGAAACTTATTGTCTACAAAATTACAACAGTTATAAGACGCCTTACTCAGAGCAACAAGTTTGTACACAATACAAGTAATTTAAACACTCTCAGAATAAATCACTCCCCATTAAAAACTCGACAAGCAATAAATTAGGTAGTTTCTTTTATTGTAAGTGCTATAAACGTCACTTAATTTTGTGAATATAACAACCATACGAGCAAAATAAAACTGTTTAATTAAACATTTTCAATTTAGATAATAATTGAATTTTTTCTTTGCAGTATCTCTCACCAACAACTTAACCGAAGACATCGTCGAAAAATACTACCTTCAACCCGACTCCGTGTCCTCGACGACCTCTCCGGGGGCTCCCAGCGGCGAAACCACCCACGCCCGAAAGGAAGTCACCCCCGCCACCAGCCCTACGAGCAGCGCTCAAGCCTACATCGGCCTGATAACGGGAGTTCTGGCCATGGTGGTCCTTTTGTTGGCCTGTACTGTCTTCCTGATGATAAGAAGGGGACGTAAAAAAGTAGCTCTCCTTCACAAGCACACGGCTTTAGTATCCAGCAGCACTAAGCCCGGGGTCACTATTAACATGAAAGATCTGAAACATATGTCCACCCCTATCATCAACAATGGCCTGTCGAGGTCGAGGCTGTCGGTGAAAAGCAAAGTGAACACGATTGGTTCAGTGGACTCGAAGAAGAGCAAGAAGAGTACGCTTTATGGACATGTGGCCGGCGAGGAGTCGGATAGCGAAAATTCGTCCGTTTATCACGAACCGTATAAACTACTCCCGAATGCCAAGCAGGAGTACGGCTGTTTGCTCAAAAAGGACGCGATTTCGTCGAGCAAAAGTGGAGAGTACACAGGTAAGAAAGGTGCGAGCTTTTTATTGATTATAATTCCTTAGTATAAGAATTATTAATAAGCCATCCTAAAACAGATTATCCCATGATTAAAAACATTAATTTTAAACTCAAAACGTGGTGAAAGCATGACGTAAGTTTCAAAGTACAACATACAATTTTACCTCCAGGCCAAAATAATCAAATAATGTTTAATAGTAAGATATAACAATGATTTAAATTTTATGGAACCTAGTTACACGAGCAGCTTAAAGTTTGAGCCATAATACATCTGCAATCTGTATTTATATTTGGACCATCTCCAAAACTAATTTGCTTCATTTATATCCTTGAAACTAAATCCTCTAATTATTCGTGACTTTATGTTGTACAACTGCAACAATTGAAGGCACTGCACACTGCATTATACAGGATGATTCGGGAGTAATAATGCGCCCGACAGAACTGGAAGCGCAACCCAGAATACATTTCCAAAGGATTCCTAAATGTATTTATGTATTTATCGAAAACATAAAGCATAGCAGTTTCCGACGTTATCGATAAATTCCGTGGCTTTTCTTATTTTATTTTCCAAATGTTTCAGGATCTTAAATAGAGTTTTGTAAACTATTTCTATACACAGAAAAAAATCAGAAGGGGTAATACAGGATTTCTATAAATGTAATACGGTCGAAGTAGCTCATGGAAGCGTGCCGCCTTTCATTTATGTGGACTTTATGCCCATTATTCAGTTTCATGTTGCAACAGGAACTCCTGACTGCCGAGACAATCTTGTCAAAGATGTTGTGTGCTTGAGTCGTCTCAAATAATTAACAACTTGCTCAGATACTAACATTTAGAACTATTTAAGGACAAATTTCGCCCCACAGTGCGGCAATATTTTATCTCCAATAGAGTCTTCAAATTCCAAAACCGCCCCTAGAATTGTTCTTCCCCTAAGTTTTTTTAAGAAATTAATGGCTTATTTCACAACTGAAATGGAAAAAAAATGGTGTTACATAACCATAATTTGTCCAGGGTTATACTCGTCTCTGGCTATGATGACGAGCAAAGTTAGTGTTTTGTTTCCTGGCCTTCAACGTTTACGTTATCGGAATTTAAGTGAAGAGAGATATGGCGTTAAACGTTGTTGGTTTAAGCGAAGAGGCAACAAAAATATTTGTAATAGTTTAAGGAGCCTCTCAGAGAATTCGTGGATTATTGTTGGCATGAGAATTTAAACGAAATTATGAACACAAGGCATTCCTGTTTACACTTATTCAAGGAATAATGAACACTGAAACGATTTTTACTCCATTTTATATACATTTTCTCTGATAGGTCATAGGTAAACAGAATCTCGATCAGTGCAATGGAGTCTGCTGTAAATATTGTTACATGTTAGTATTCAGTTTGAAATTCCTACTCATGAATGTGACAAATTCGGCTTATTCTACCGGTTTTTTTTACTTTTTGTCCAGGTACGTATTTGATGCATTTGAAATATCCTAGTGCATTTGCTATACAGCCGTTGAATACCACCATCGCTTCCAAATCGCATTTTCCCGTATGCGTAACTCCAGGCTTTATAATTTTGTAATTCGCCAGGTATTCCTCCCGGCTCACTTTTCCCCAATAATCTCCTGTTTTTCGAATCCCGCTGAACCGAAGCGGTTAAACAACCCCGTTCGAAACCGTAGCAACATCCAGAATAGCCAATGAAACGGAAAAGCTCGCAACATGTCTGCACCAACTTCAACTGTTTTATTTTTTGTGGAGTGCGCTTTTATCGAAGCGAAATTGCGGTCCGGCCGTTTTAAATAATTCATAAAAGCTGCATATTTGACGAGCATATGCCCGACTTTAATCTGAAAAATAACAACAACGAAGCAAATCGTGCAACGATAAAAGCAAATGTGATTTCCTCATATCGAGGAGACTGGTAAACTGAAAAGACGCAAGACAGGCCTGGGTGATATTTGCGTTTTCTTAAATTGGTTTTTGAAACGCCCGCCTAGCGCTCGGATCTTGAACGTGTCAGACAGCTGGCATTTTTCACGTCTCACTTAGTTTGTATCGTATGTATGGGGGAATCTTCGCGCAACATATGAATCTCTCATGATTTACAAGATGGGAGGGAAAAACCGCACCCTCGTGTCGGTTGTGCTATTTAACAGAAGTAGAATCGCTGTTTTAGTTCGAAATAAACAACGCTGGTGTTTTGGAGAAGATGGATTTGGCAGTGTGCAGCAACATGTGCATTTTCAAAGACGTTTCGTTTGGAAATTTGTTCGACTGCACTGAAAACAGAAACAGTTTTTTTTATTAAGAGTAAACTGCAATAGAAATCATCGTTTTAGATAAAATTGTGCACTATGTCAGTTTGAGCTGCCGACAGAAAGTGATGGGGGTTCTAGGCCAGGTCATCAGCGCACAGATTCTTTTGCAAGTTCTAGTAATTCCTATACGATTTATTAGAATTACTTCGACCTGAAAGTTGTTCCTTTGTAACTTATCTTTCCACCCACCGTTATTAGAAAGCTACATGTCTATAAACAAGGGCTCGCTGCACCCGGACTGTTAAAATATACGCTATTTATTCTAATTTGCTTAAGCTAGTTTAGTGCGATTAAAAACTTGAGCAAATAAAACTAGCGCTCTAAAATAATAATTGTCCTTGTTTCAGCAAATGCGACGGAATTAAATGCGAGAGAATTAAACTCAGTAACTGGTATTCGTTAAGTGCGCATTTTATTATAAGAGCAACTTCGTCTAATAGACAACGGAATATTCATAAGAGAGGTGAAGTATTTAAAGCACCTCGACGTGATTCCATTTTCTTCAAGTGCAATTCAAGCTAGGAGATCCACAGGTTCTCGGCAGCGAAAGAACATTTACATTTCACTATCGCTGACATTTCAGTAAATGCTTTTCACACAATTAACAGCAGTTTGCAAATCCTTGCACACACCAACCGTTGCGGGGATTCTTTTGTACTTTTTGCGCTTGCAACTTTAATTAAGAGATCATCGTAATGACGGGAAATTGCGCAACAAATGAGGTTTATTTTTAACCGTCAGCGAATTTTGACGCGCTGTCGGCTGGCTGCAACGAGAATTATTACTTCTTGGTTTCCGTATTTTATGACGGCTAATATATATGTCAAGAAGTAGAATTATATGTGATGGTTAAATCGTCGGAATTAAGACGTCTAGGAAAAGTTATATCATCCGACAGTTATTTGCCTGACATTTCTATTCTCCGACTCTAAATATATTGGCAATATCGTTAGAACGGAGAGAATTTCTGAAACTAAAAAAAAAAAATGTTTTGAAGTCTTAGGTTTCCACCGCGTCTTGTCTTATTACAAATGAAAATGTTCTTTGCAGATTACGAAAAGCTGCTTACAAAGAACTCCCTAATTTTCAGTAATTATTCGATGTAAATAGTCGACGCCGTGGGAGTTGAATTCACAAGGCCACAATTGCGCTCCAGAACACGCTTTGCTATTTCAATCTCCAATTCCCCGCCAATTGTACTTCTTTTCCACATCGTTCCTCATCCACATCTAATTCCAATTGTTGTTGCAGACTTCACGAGCGTAAATAGCTTCCAGGAAGATTTGAAATTCACGTCGCCTTCCTTTTACAACTTGACGCCGCCGCCGCCGCCCACATCCAGACCGCCGACGTACGACGTCCAGAATTACCAAACCCCGACCAATACACCAAACGGAACGATTCCTGCTGAGAACTACTACGCCGCCACGGACATAATAAAGGTATTTGATAAGCTAAAACGTTTCAGTCAAATCCGCATAGCGCACGACTCCGGAGGTTTATTAGGTCCAGATACTGTAACTTCTGACAGGATTATTAATGAGCCGGATGATTTAGTCGTTATCCCGGCCTAAATATGGAACAAGGTCGTTCCGGAACGGTTCGTCGAGTTGCAATTAAACGATCGGGATTTTGGTGCGCTACATGTGTAATTTAACAAATTAGACTAATCGAGTTTGTTGTTTTTAAATTAGTTGCGCTAACGCTGTTAGATTCCAAATGCTGGTGCAGTTTCGTGCTTGGAATTCCTTGATGGGGTGTGGGGTAGAGTAGTTTCTGTTGCAGCGGCACGCTTGAATGATGATTACTGCTATTTTCAAAGCTAGGTCAATTGGTGGCAATGCAGCTTGAAATATACAACAGTTGGCTGCGTTATTTGAAGGGGCGATTTACGTCCAAACTTCACTGGAGCAACACATATTTGATATGAGATACTTTATTGAAAAGAAATGTATGTGCATATAAACCAAGCCATCATTTTGACGTCCTTTCATAAAGCCACATTTTGGCGTTCCTGGAATATTACAAAAATTCACCGAATTCAATTATGGATACTATTTATTCATAATTTGTATATTTATAAAGAGATCTTAAACATTAAACTGCTCTACAAATAAAAAATCCATTTTTTACAATTCGATATCATTTTAAACTCCTTTCGTCCAACCTTCACCGCAAATTAGGTATAAAGATTTGTACAATATGCTATCCTTTTAACATTTTGCAGCCTTGTCAGTTCTCTAAATAGATCCGTTCCTAAACAACACACATGCGTGTAGAATAGAAAAAAACAATTAAAAACAAAATTTAAGTTTGTTGGTATTTAGCTCTTTTAGGAGTTTTAATTACATAAATATTTCTTAAAAAATTTTCTAAAATTATTAAGACACAGCTTCCTTTGCCCCTGAAGTGCACTCAAAAAATTAAGTCTGTTAAACGAATTCAAAAATGTTATTTTAAAAGTTATTATTTTTCGGGTCAGTTTTCTCCTTTTTTGTGAGTAATTCGGTTTAGTACCGCATGAACTCCCGTCTCAATTTTGTCCACTTCTTTGAAGTTATCGTATATAAGTTTATAACATAGGTCCCAGGACCGACCCTTGTGGGACCCCACAGTTTATCGCCAGATTACGCTCATCTGTTTGAATTACCCTATCCGATAAGAAACTATCTATTATGGTACGGAGATAATTTGATACTTTCTTGATTGCCAACTCATCCAGGATACTATCCCACTGTAAAATGTTGAAGGTACTTCGTATGTCCACTGTTATCAAGATATATATATGTTTCTTTTTTCCCAGTATCGCTATTTGCCTTATCTGCGATCTTTATGACTTGATCTCCCCTTTTTAAATCCGTACTGGTGAGTAAAAAGACCACCCTTGTGCTTTATTTCTTCCTGAAACCGTTATCTTGTCAGGATTTTCAACAGCTTCCCTAGTATAAGGTACTCAGAGGACAAGTTTCGGGAAAAGAATAACCTGGGCCTTCTTCCAGATCTTCCAGATCTCGGATTTTTCTTTAAATATTCGGGTTCCTACATCGCCACTATTCTGATTATTTTCAGTGATATGCCATCGAGTCCTTCTTTTTTTTCCTTATATGAGGTTCGTCTTCTCATTGCTGTTTTGTAAACATCTTCTCGCATTACAACTGCCAAGTTCTTCTTTGAGATCGGACGATTTTTCCCTTCAAGATTTTTTTGCTATCTTTACACTCCTTATTATGTTGGGTCCTTTGTTCGTTCGATATGTTGTTTTGGGTTGTTTCTTGTAATTTCCCTTCTTGCAGCATTACATTTTTTCCTCAAGTTCGCAATCTCATCAGCCGGTTGATGATTCTTGCTCTTCCTATTTGGTTTTGATTTCATTACGTCCTTCCAGATGTTATGTAAGGTTTTCGTCCGGTTCGACCTCCTTTACTGTCTGATCTATTAAGTCCCACGTGAGGAGTTTATGGTCGTTAAAGACTTCTGCATTATGAACATCCCAGTTTTATCTCTTCCTCGTGATATATTCTGTCAAGATAGTAATGTATACATCTAATAACGATATTGACTGTCCCCTTACGAAGATGGCTAACCCCCTAGAGTTGTGAGCTACCATGGATTTTTTCCACATTCTATCCGGTTCTTGCGTCTCCCATTCCTCTGCCTGACCTGACCTGAGCTGATGTGACCTGACCTTACCTGACCTGAGCTTTTTTCGGGAGGAAGTAAAAAATACATTTGAGTACATACCTCTATGACCCCATCTCGTCTTTTTGTTATTTACCCTCTTTTATTACCCTAATTCTTTCCTCGGCCATTAAGTCTATTGGAATTATTTGGGCAATTACTTGTAGGCCTACCGTTGATGCTGCTATGTATACCACTTTTATTAGCTTAGTTTTATGTGTCATATTTTAAACTATTTTCCCATACCGATGAGGTATATATGATGGAATATCCCACCCCACACAATACTCTTCATCTACTCGGGATCGGCCCTCTCCATTTTAGACATAATTTTTACCAAGGCTTCTATAGACTTCGCCACTTCTTCCACTACATACTCGACATGTTTTGTCATTCCTGTATTTTTTTCAAAATATACACCAGATGTTTGATTTTGTTTTTACTGTGTATCTGCCCTTCTTGGAAGGTCAATTCTAGAGCCTTTATTTTCTAGTCCCGCACAAAATCACCATCTCCATTTTGACTAATACTAATTCTAAGTTTTTCTTTTTTATTTCTTCATATTATCTTACGCTGTGACTTTTCTGCTATCCTTCTAAGATGCTCGCGTTTGCTTCTAACCTAGTCCTTACTACGTCAAAGTACACATTGCAGAGCGTAGGTCCTAAGATCGATCCCTGGAAACTTCATTGTTTTCAACTGTATTTAGTGTCCTTCAGATAGCTAATTGTTATGTTCTCAAGTCTTCAACAACACCGTCCCATCTAGTCATGTTAAATGCATTCTTATGCTTATCAGCAAGCAAGTTGAACTGAACTGATCTGACCTTACCTTACCTTACCAGACCCGACCTGACCTGACCTAACCTGACCTAACCGTTTTTTTTACCGAGTTAATTGGCTTAGGGTGCACTACCTTGGCGTTAGGCGCCAGGTAACATTTACCGCCTATGATATGCGGCTCGGCTGATCTTCTGCCTGGGGGATGTACTCTCCGTCCCTTAGCCTCCAATCCATCGCTACTACCCTATGGTATTTCTTCGGTGGGCAGGATGCAGGTCTTCCTTTCCTATATTCCTATCTCAATTCCCAGTTCCATTTTTGTGCTACACCCTTCCCGCCTTTTCTCTTCTTCTTTCCTCCTCCTCACGGTCCTATATTACTTCCTCTACAAATCCTGTTACTTTTTTCGAGTTTTCGGTGATTAGGCGGTCCTAACTGGTCCTCCACTTCTCTGCGCATCCCTTCATTTTCTTCGCTGAAAAATATCGCGTGCTCCACTGTGTTCTGCTCGTACGCACAACCCCAACATCTCGCGTTTTCCGCCTTGCCTATTCTTTCTCTATATTTACCAAATACTGTGTTAACCTAAATTCCCTAACGTCAGGAATTAATTTCTTGGTCCACTCCGCCTTTCCCGTTTCCTGTTCCCATTTCTTCTGCCATTTATCTAACTGATATGTCCATTTTTCCTTCTTGTCCACTCCATACCTATATCTATCCAACCCAACATTCTATTGGCATCATTCCAGCAATTACATATAATGTCTGCATAGGCCATACTTATTCATATCAATAACTTTCTTATGGTGTTTTCCACCTTCTCCCTATAGCTCTTGATTACTTTTCTTACTTCCTGGGCCCCCTATATTAGGCATTAGTCTTCCCAACGCCCCTATGAGATTGTCTGTTTTCCCGACAGTCTTAAAAAGATGTTCTTTGAATGTTGATTTTGCGTCAATTGTTATGCCTAGATATTTTATCGATTCTTTTATTATTCTTATTTTTTCTCTTTTAATCGGATTTGGACCGACTCCTGTTGCATTCTTCCAATAACTACTATTAATTTTGCGTCAATTGTTACGCCTACATATTTTATCGATTCTTATATTATTCTTGATTCTTTCTCTTTTATTCAGATTTGGACCGACTCCTCTTCCATTCTTCCACTAACTACTATAGGTTCGGATTCTTGACAACTGGGAGTTTACTTCCCTTTCTACTTTGTTCATTTCTTTATCTGCCACTATTAATACCAAATCATCGGCATATGCGATGATCGTTGAAGTTGAGCCCATGTCCATTCGCAGTATACTATCATAAACGATGTTCCATATAAGTGGCCCCATTATCGATCCTTGGGGTACTCCACCACTTATCCAAATCTTCTATCCGTAACTCCCTGTTATGTGTGTGTTCGTAAAATAATCCGCGATTATTTCTTTTAAATAACCCGGAATATCCTAATGTTCCATCTCTTTTTTAACTACGGTCTACGCTATGGTGTTGAATGCATTTCTGAGATCTAGCGCCAGCACACACATTTCTCCTTGGTTTGCCTTGAGTCGCCCTTGATTATCCTAATTGGCTGCACTACCCTCTCTATGGCCTCTATGGTGGATTTTCCTACTGTGAAGCTATACTGGTTACCTAACAGACCACCTTTCTGGGCTAGATGCTGTTTAATTCTTTTCGCCAATAAAGGTTCGTAGATTTTTCCCGCCACATCTAGGGGGATAATGGGTCTAAAGCAACTGGACGAGTTTCCCTGCTTCCCCGGTTTCTTCTTTCCATATTTCGGCCGTCAGTCCGTCCATACCGGGCGCCTTCCCCTTCTTCATCCCCGTAGACAGCTTCTTTCAGTTCTTCCATCTCGAAAGGTGGGGTTTCCGCGTCTATTATTTCCTTCCATCTAATGCCTTTACCCTTGGGAAAAAATGCTGCTAGTACCTCGTTCTCGGTCTCTTTTTCCAACTTCTCCGGTG